GATTCCAAGATTGAAAGAAATTCTTTGCTTAGAATTCTATGTCAACATTATCATTAGAAAGAAATTCTTTAATTTTTATAATAATATATTAATAATTCTATTAATAATATTCCTTAATTTTAAATCTATTAAATAATTCTATTAATTCTATTAAATCTATTAAATAATTCCTTAATTTTAAATCGATAAAAAATTGGCAGTATAGATTTTATCAAAAAAATAATTTCAAATTGCACGTGATAATAATCTAAGCTCCTGAAGAGTCTTTGATGAATTTTTATTTCGGTATGAAATATTTACGAATACAATATAGGAAGAACACGGATTTTCTTCCGTGCAGTCCTAAAACTTATACTTCGTCGGATATTTTGAGTATTTCATCGATGTAGGAAGGAACAAAAATAAAGAAGAAGAAATTCGTTTATCAGGATCTGATCGTCCGATTATCCTTCGGTGCCACGTATGTGCCTTGCATTTATATGCAAATTAAATATCTTTCGCTCATTATAAATGGCGTTAATTATGATACCCCTGTTAATCGGGATGAGATATTGATGACGCATGACGCGTGCAGCAAGTGCAAATCAACCTGTGATTATAAATCATGGAAAAACCAGAAAATAACCTGTTCTTGAGCGACGTTTCCGAGATTTTTTCTCGTCATACGCCTTGAGTAACATTGTATTTAGCTAGCTTCGATCAGTTTTAATCTTTTCGGTTTTTATGATTCTAGATACGTTTTGTACGATATATAAGCAATGTTGGGAGATTTTAAACAAAATCTCGAAAAATTTTTAAGACTTTCAGCCCCCCAAACGTTCAACGTTTCGAACATTCCAATTTCCAAAGATTTTCGATTTTCGAATTTTTAATTTCGGATATCTCAAAATTTCTTTCTTCGAAGTTTTCAAAGTTTGAGATATTCGTGACTTTGAATCTTCTAATGTTAATATTCCATTATTTCTTGCACTTGCAATTTAAATTTTGGACTTTTAATTTAAAATTTCGTATTCTGAAACTTCCAAAGTTTCAAATATTTGAACACTCGAGTTTCCAGATTTCTAAGTGATCAAATCTTCAAGTATTTCATGCTACAAGAAATTTCAAATGCCCGAATTCATGACGTATCACAGGATATATATCTCTGCGGTGTCACACGGTTACGTAAAAATGCAACATAGTAGGAAAATGATATGCCCGATGAAATTGTATGTAAACTGTTATTCGACAGAAGATGAAGAACCATTGAAAGTTCCGCGCGGAAGATCACGTGCACCAAATAAATAAATTTTACGCCCCTACCAATTACGTGCAAGTGTTCGAATGTGTTAAAAATTACTTCGATAAAATATTAAATTAATAATATATTAAAACAATCACTTCAATACATTAATCAATCTGTAGCATGTCCTTGGTGTATGAATATATTAATTGCAGTCGCCGCATTAAAATTATATAAAAATTAATGAATTTCTTTCTCACGTGTTCAAATACGAAACTGTTAATGCACATGCATAATATATCTCGTATGAATCTTGATAACCTTTGTCATGGCGTGGAAAAAAGTAAATGATATTCATTTGCCTGCCTGGCAACAAGTAGTAAAAATAGTTCGGGGCATTTATGTATTCCGTGATAATGATTACTGTCACTTGGCTGTTATCTTAATTACTTTTGCCACTATCGTCGTACTTAGGCTGTCATTATCAGTACGCACCTGTTATTGGCATCGGAATTATCGTGGATCGTTGCAAGAATGTTAACGCATTTCTGATTAATTTTCAATCGCGTATCTAGCATGTGGTTATCGATTGGCGTTAGTTACGATTCTCTCTCTCTCTCTCTCTCTCTCTCTCTCTCGAAAATAATAATCGTGAGATTTTTAGATAAAAACCGTATCGACGTGACACGTGCATTAGGCACGGTGGTTTAATCAATTAACGTGATCTTTGATATAAACGATGCAACGTGCAAAAGAAAGCTCTCTGCAAATATTTCAACAGGGGGGCTTTAAAATGATTCGTAGTTACGTATCGAAATGTCGCGAGGTTGGTCGATTTCCATTCATTTTTGACAGATTTGCAATATCGAGTGAAAGATTCTTGGCCACCGTGTAGTTTTTGTCCACCAGGATTTTTCGAAAGAGTTTTGTGTATGAAGATTTTCGTACGGAATGTCAAAAGTTAATTAAAGTTGTTGAATGAAAATATGAAAAAGAAAAAAGAGAAACTCATGCTAGCCAAAA